GTCGAGAGAACTTTAGCGTTCAATATCTTGACGTTTTATTGAACGCTGAGTTTTTATTACGTATAGGAGTGTGCCCAAAACATTCCGAATACGAGCGTTCAATATCGAAGGCCCCGTAGTAAACACAAAATATCGTTTGGTCAACCTCGAAAAGGCAGATTTATGATAGGTAGTGGCATTTAGGTTATGATAGGTAAGATGTATTTATATTCACACAAAATTAAAATTAATTAATTAGTACGTATTTGACTCAATAAAACTTAAATAAGCAAATCATCACGTTTGGTAGGGTCATTGGCATGATGCGATATTGAACATTTGCAGGATGGACGTTAATAATACCGATACTGACAATTCTTATTGATTTGAGTCATTCAATTGAAATAATCAATATAAATTTTTAGCTATATAATAAAGAGTTATGGAACTTCTATTGGTGAATATTCACCAATATAAGTTCAATAACCCATATTATTGTGTGAAAAGGGAATTTGTGTAAACACAGACAGTGATATTTTGTGGGTTTCATTCAATGTTATCTTCCTCGTAAACAATAGGTTTTCAACACGTAGTTGACTTTTCATAAATGCACAAAACGAACCATTTTTTTGCTACCATCTGGAAAAACAAATAAAATTCTTGCAAAAGAATTAAATCACACTAGCATCAAAATATTCATTTATATAATGCATTCAGAAATAAAGAGTAATTATTTAAAGAGTGTTAAATTATATTGATCATTTTCACATTTTACATTACATATCATCGAATTAAACACGTACATCAGTTTGAAAAAAGCAACATATGTTTCGCCTTATTCAAAAATAATATATTTTGGTCAAATGTCAAATAAAATCAAACACCTAAATAAAAAAAAAAGATGTAAAGTAATACATAAGTATCTATAAATCGGCAATGTAGCCTTAATCATTGTCATAAAAACGACAAAATCATCACGAAATGCAACAGGTTTTATTGATGAACATTAGGTGCTATCAATGATGTTTGGTGAAATAAAGGCACTTTATATTTTGATAATGTAGACGTAGAACTTTGTTTTCCCTACCTACTCGTCTAGGATAAGGCTGCGCATCACATAATACAGTGTAACAGCTGCAGTAACTTCTTTGACCTACGTAGATATGTCGTCATAATAGCTTATGACGTCGTTACAGCTAACTTTAGATGACATGACGGGGAAAGTGTCATAACTTCAACATTCCTGTCATATAACACTCAGAAAACTCTAAACGTTGATGTTGAATTAAGATGTCTGGATTGGTGATGAAAGCTTCAGAGTTCTGTTATGATATTGAACCTTTGCAATATACTATCGTTATTCCTTTCTCCTGTCTGATATACAGAGTATCCAAGCAAGGACAAAAAGTAGAATATAAAATGCTCCCCGTCGCATATTCGTCCACACAGGAAGAATTCATGATTCATGTCGTCTATCTGAATCGTGCTGGGGGGGGGGGGGGGGGGTATGTTAAATAGCCTATTTTGTACAAATTGCGATGAAGAGTGGAAAATGTATGAGTTGAAGTCCAAACTCCAATGACTTCATATAGAATACAATTAATTTAATTACGAGGGGTGATCAAAAAGTTCGCAAACTAATTGAATTACTTCCATAAAACAAATAAAATTAGGTTTCAGTGTTCATCATTTTGTCAAGTAGTCCTCTCCAATTTTAATGCACATTTGCCTCCCTCTGCCCATGCGCGAATCACGTGATCCAGGCGGTCACGTGGCATGCTCTGCAGCCCTCTGTTCACAGAAACTAAAAGATTCTTCCAAGTCTTATATTTCTTACCATTCAAGTTATTTTTTTTATAACAGGAACAGTCCATTTGTCAGAAATGATCAAATCTCGGCTATAGGATGGGTAGATAAGGATATCCGTTCCTAGAATGAGCATAGTCACCGTCACAACCCGAGTCATCTCGAGGGAACCTCGTTTATCCAATGTGTTGTTGTTGTTATGTTGTTTAACGTCCCTCTCGAGAATTTTTCACTCATATGGAGACGCCACCACTTGCCGGTAGAGAGCCACAAATTTTGTCCTATACTCGGCACTTACGGCCATTGAACAGTCAGGGATCTTTTTCGTGCCAGCACCTACTGCGACACGGGACCTCGGTTTATACGGTCTCATCCGAAGGAACGGTCTCCACGTCCTACAGTGGGATTCGAACCCGCGGCGTAAGGAACAACTCCTTACTCCGCGACTCTAGAGCAGACGCTCTAACCACTGCGCTATCCAATGTGAATGAAGTATGGAGGCCTTCTTTTTATCATTTCTAATATGATTAAAGTCTAAAGTAAATAATATTTCGGGATTTAATAATTATATTGTCAACATTTTCAATTTTTTTTCTAATTGTAACTAGGCGATCTTTCATTACAATTTGCTCAACTAAGGATACATCTCTTCCCCATCTTGCTTTCACTGAACAACAGAACAAACATCATGTTAACCATCCCCCTTTCTTCACTTATACAATCAATCCAATTAATCCAATTAATTACGTTAATGATTGAACATCTGGAATCCTTCATCTTCCTGAACCTTGTATTAATTATCATCTGCTAGTGCAAAGGAATTTCCAAGATATGCGTTAAACTTTAAAGCCATTTTTTGCGCGGGTACGATGGAGTCAACCATTTTTTGACATAAGTCACTTACATATTGATGTCATTTTCACATTGTGACGTCACAAAAATGGAGCAAAATATTACCTAACAACTGCTATTTATAGAACATGTGTATGACTATATGTCTGACAAATTTCATTTTGATCTTAATTGCGGTTTTGTAAATATAGAGACAGTTCGCAAACTTTTTTGATCGCCCCTGGTATGTAATACTGCACTTTCGTCAATTTTAGTTGATATCAATTTTCGTGTATTTTGTAAAACGTACGTTTTCGAGGTTACGTAATTTCGTGTACAAAAGCATTGCCTATACAAATGAATATCATTATTTCTTAAGTCAATGAACATTTAGTTTCGTAGATCTGCTCAACCACGGAATCCTCAAAAATCGGTGGTCAACGAATATTGATGAAACCACAGTAAAACGTTCACAAAAAATTTTTATCACTTGTGTCGATGCAATTTTTGTGCAACATTTAGGACTCGTGATCAACAAAGTCATGTGACATAAAAAAAATCCATTATTACAATACCTGGTAAAACACTTCGAATATTTCCTGTACATGTATACTTAGTTTACAAACTGAAACCAAACCATAGCTCGAACCTTGCTCGAAATAAAAGATTATGTTTCTAATGTAGAATAGATAGATAACTTTAACCATTAATGATTTATTTGAATCATTTTTCAACCACCATTATGACAAATAATGAAAGAAAGTTCAAATGCAAACTGTATCGTTTTGAGATGCCGCCGTAATCCATTTATGACAAAAAATATTTGAATGCACGATCTTAAACCGATGATGACAATTATATTTGTATATCATAAATGGATTGGAAATCATCAACATTGTACTTAGGTAACATTTTATTATTAGTGATTATTTGTATCTTATGCAGTTTCTACAAATGTTTCATTGAATAAAGTATCATATTTGTTTTTTATGTATATAAGATGTTTGTTTCAAAGATTTTGAATTTCAAAGATATACACTGATTCCTAATTTTAATAAATGTAGTAAATTATCAGAATTATACAGTATGCATCAGTAAATATATCATAGATGGATTGGAAATCATCTACTAATTTAACAATACATTATTTTAGTCTTTATCATATATATGGCTGCTACTAAAGTTTCATTGGATGAAGTGTTATTAAAGAGATATTGTCTTCTACAAACAGTTTAGTTTAAAATCCTAAAATGTTTTGTCTCATCTCACTATGCTACAAAAATTCAAAATTTAATTTAATTAAAAATGCTTTAAAGACTATATTGTAATAACAACATAAATTAATGAAATAGTAAGTAATGAACAGTAATTAAGCTCAAAAGTCCATTGAAACAATACCAATCGGAAGCGGAGGAAAAACGGACCTCTAAAAATATTAGAGGAGGGATCAGGTGCCATGGAGGAGTAAGCATCCCCTAATGACCTTTTAACCCCAGTCACATATCCAAAAACGACCAACGGCCGTGCCCAGTTATTTTTTTTCCTGCGTATTACTTTAGCTGAAGCAGTTATGGAATCGTCCATCGACCAACCCTAGATCATAGTATTATTTCGTGCCAATGTCTACCGTGACATGGAACCTCGGATTTTAAGGTCTCATTTGTAGGACCTGCGAGTTTCATTTCCTTCATCGAGAGGTTGGTGAAGAAACAATATCGTACTATGTTTACGTCTTAGGTTTGAATCGGAACGAGTATCGAACTTGTGCCTCCTGATCACAACACGAACGCCCTACCACTAGCCTAGCTTGATCTGTATAATGTTTATGGGATCCCTTTAAGGTGATTTGTGAAAACTGTCTTCGTCTATTAAAACTTGGTAAATACAATTTTGAAAAAACTCATGTTTTAACGAAAGAAAAAAAAATCCAAGCAAGCAACAAACACAAGACAAGAAAATCAACCAACAAATACTTTTTTTCAATGCATTCAAGTAATTTTTCTTTGCTATATTCACAAGAATTGTAAGAAGCTGGTAGTGTTAGTTTGTTTTTATCAATAGTCAAACACACAAAGGACAACAATGTACATTTGCTTGTTTCACTCCATTTTGGGGATAGGGGAGTGGCGGGTATACATCCATCTGATAATTATTATTATAGTTAGATCTCATGAACCACATATAATATCACTGTACTCTGGAGTCAGTCTACTTAAATTCACATATGTATGCTGTAGCTGTAGGTACAGTAGCAAAATCGTGAAATGTTAATTACGGATCATCGTTAAAAAAATATAACGAAGAGCACCTGTTCAAGTCACGTGATTCGCGTTCGCCGACAAGTATATAAAGTATGCTTATCAATACAATTTTAAACAGCAATTATGGAACGTTTAATCTTACTTGGCTTGACATTGACTATTGTAATCGTAAGTAAATATTGTTTTTATTCCTTAAAGTATTTCCCCAAGCTTAATAAGAGTAAAGTTAGCAATTAAAAACACAGTATCGTTTGTTTTTATCCTCCGGAATCAACGTGTATAATTCAGTATAACTAGTATAATTTATATCCAAAAGAGATTCTTTCTATACCACTGTTTTTTTTTTGTTTTTTTTGTTTTGTTTTTTTTTTCCCACCGTTTATCGATGAACAACGCTTTAGTGCATCCTCTTCACTTCTACAACTACCTTTTGTTAAAATTAGATTTAAAAAGAAAGATACATTCATAAGAGTCCTTTGTCTATAACATTGAAGCAAGAAACATCAAACATAAAGAAACTCAACTATATTTTAATAACAAATCATCCTTTGCCCTTAGGTAATTGTTTTGCGCTCACCTCCAACAAACTGTCTTTAACAATATAAAAACATACATAAGATGTGAGTTCTATTAAGGAGATTTTATAAATATTTTAGCAGACATAACTACTAGTTATATAATACGCCAAAATGAGGGATGACAGTTTGACAATTTTTCTTTTGTGTTTAAAAGAAAATATACATGTAAGTAATTATGTTCCCCAAACGAAGTTGGGGAACATATTGTTTTTACTCTGTTTCTTATTATTATTATTATTTTTCTTCTTCTTCTTCTTCTTCCTGGGTACTTTTTTGTCCGCGAGTGATCTCGTCAACTACCCATCCGATTGAGGTGAAACCTTTCTAGGGTTAATAGGCATGTTATGTAGATTTGCGGAATCAAGGTCATTTTGCGCGCACGTGCATGCACGTGCGTGCGCGTGCAATGCGTAAAATGACCAATATACTTGATATAGCTGTAACTTTTATATTTTTTGATGAAATGCTTTGATACTCAGAATATAAGGATATATTAAAAGTGTAAACAAGATGACATGGTCAACATGCATATGCATGCACGTGTGCGCACGCGCAAAGCGTAAAATGACAAATATACTTTAAATACTCGTAACTTTTATACTTTTTGATGAAATGCTTTGATACTCAAAATATTTATATATATTAAAAGTGTAGACAAGATGACATGGTCATCATGCACATGCATGCACGCATGCATATGCATGCACGTGCGCGCGCGTGCAATGTGTTAATTGACCAATATACTTAATATAGCCGTAATTTTTATATTTCTTTTATTAAAAATATACAGATATATTAAAAGTGTAGACAAGATGATTTGGACATCATGCTCATGAATGCACATGCGCGCGCGTGCAATGTGTTAAATGACCAATATACTTAACATAGCCATAACTTTTATATATTTTTTATGAAAAGCTTTCATACTAAGAATAAACAGAGATATTATAAGTGTAGACAAAATGGCATGGTCATTATGAACATGCATGCAGGTGCGCATGCGTGCAATGCTAAGATGACCAATATACTTGATATAGCCGGAACTTATTTATTTTTTGATGAAATGTTTTGATACTCAGAATATAAAGATGCATTAATAGTATAGATGAGATGACATGGTCATCCTGCACATGCATGAACGTGCCTGGCGTGAAATGCAAAAAACGACCAATATACTTCATTGCCTTATTTAATGAAGCTTACAGGAAATAAGACACCAAAAGGGTGTTGGGGAGTGTTTGGGGAACATCTGTAACGGTCCCCGTTACAATTATAACTAGTTTATTTCATTTTTAAAGGTTCAAGAGGAAATAACCCAATACTTTTCATGTATTTTTTTGCTCAAGGAAAAAGTATTAACTTCAAGCTAACCCTTTTAATATGTGTTCAGATAAGGAAAACTCATACAAATCAATTTTATGAAATTCTTTTTAGATTTGAAAGGAATTAATTTTAAGTGTTTTACGCTTTTTATTCAATACATATGGTGAGACGTAAAAAATAGTTAGAAAAGAAGAGTAGAACAGATCCATTGTATGACCCGTCTTTTACTGTATTAAAACATAGAAAGTGACATGATCTTATCTATTGATTTCAGAAAACTACCTATGTTCAAACTTAAAATCGGTAAAAATATACCCGACATTTCTTATACTAACACTTAATCTGATCTAACGAGATGAGGTAACTTGTTTATCGTAAAAAAAAGACTTATGAAAATATACCCGGCATTTCTTATATAAACACTTAATCTGATCCAACGAGATGACCTAACTTGTTTATCGTTTAAAACAACCTATACACTAATTCAACTTTTATTCATTGAAACCTTCCCGATTCTTCCTATATTAACTGTCTTTCTGGTGTAAAATGCACATTGTATATGGTATAAGCAGTAATAGATAAATAAGCATGTTTAAGTCCCTGAGTGACAGTTTAAATTAAAATAATATAATTTCATATACAAGTGTTTAAAGAGTCATATTTCTTTTTTGGAAAAATAAAACTTTAAATTTCACTGTTATGGTAGATAATAAACTGCAGAAATCGATTAGATTTTATATGCCATCTTTTTTTTTTTTTTTTTTTTTTTTTTTTTTTTTTTTTTTTTTTTTTTTTTTTACTTATATGATGATTTGGTCTGAACTTCTACTTAGATTTTTTTGGAAGGGGGAGGGGGGGGGGAGGGTTCAGACATCCTAACTTACGGTCATCCTAACTTACGGTCAAAGCTTCTGAGTCATTTTTCATTTCCTTGTACAAAAATGTCACCTTTCTATAGATGTAAAGAAAATTTTTTGGGTATTGTTTTCGTATAAAAAGTGAGTACACAATAAAAAGCAAACGGTACAAAAATGAATTTATGAACTTAGTATCTATTTATTTTAATTACGCCATCACTTTCTAGGCTGCAGTTATTGGACAAGGATATCGTCCTCCACCTCCAGGTAGGCAATAATACATGTACGCATGCCTGTTACAATAAAATGCATAATTGGTAATGCTGTCTACTAAAACAAAAATCGACGCTATTCAGGGAAATACAGTTAAACTCAGCTGTGACGACTTTCTAGAAAAAGATCAAATATATACTCTATTATGTCTTGAGTATAATGCTAAACTAACACATTATTATACCTACCTTATTTGGAGTGTTGTATATTCACAAAGAAATATGATCTGTTCAATTAGTAATAATTTTGACACACTTGATACATATTATATAAAAAAAAATGAACGAAATGTAATTTATTATAATTCATTTTTCTTGTCAATTTAGGAAAGTCAATCTGTAGTTTACCTGCGGAACCCGGTTTGTGCAGAGGCTACTGTCCCCGGTATTATCACGACACTAAAACGGGCACCTGCCGTGAGTTTATCTACGGATGCTGTGAAGGAAATGCAAACAATTTTCGAACTAAAGAACTCTGCAATCGGGTTTGCAGGAACAAATGTAAGCAGACAATCTTTATTATGTATTTACTTTTTTAAGTTGATAAGGGTCACCACCGTGGCGAAGTGGTTAGTGCGTCTGATCTAGATTCGCGGAGTAAGGGGTTGATCCTAGCGTCGCGGGTTCAAATCCAATGTGTGACGTGAAAACTGGTCCTTCGGGTGAAATCATATAAATGGAGATCAAATTGTGGCGTCTCAATATAAGTGAAAAATTTTCCAAGGCACGTTAAACAAGCAAACAAGCAATTTTTTTAAAAAAAAATTTAATCAAAAAATGGATTTTTTTTTGGTGTAATAGAAAAAAGTGAGACCATCATACAAAAAAGAAAACATAGGGATCTACAAATAAGCAGTTTTATACTCTAGATTCCTTATTTTTACGCGAGTACTTATATTCGCGAAATGACTCCTTGACGTCAAATCGCGAGAACAATAATTCGCGAGTGGACGGTTGATCAAGGGATTTTACATTGATTTCAGCGCCATAAAAATAAAAGCGAGTAATTTTATTATGCGAGTGTTGCTTCTCGCGTAATTACGCGATAATTAATTCCTGGTGTATATTTAGGAATGTACAGTACTTTATATAATCGTAAACGGCATATGCTTTAGGCACATACAGAACCATCAGTCCTAATGTACTGTATAGCCATCAACCGCACAGGTTTATTTTTGCGAAAGAAAGAAATGTCGCGGCTCAAATAAGATTAAAGACATCAACAAATGATAATATCTTCATATTTTTAATTGAACTTCAATGTTTTTTTTTCAAATTTGGTTTTTTACAGCCTGTTTGAATGCTTATTCAGTTAAACTAGTCTAATCTGATACACATTTGAAGGCGGCGAATTTCTACTTAGGTTATTGAATAAAGAATATTGAAATATTGAATATTGGAATTAGGTACAATGTAAGTCGAAATGAGAATATTGGTTAAATGTCTAAGCTCAACCATGTGCTTGGTTGTTATACAGTTTTTACTTGACTTGTTTTTTAGTCTGTTCAAGGATAGGGTGTCTTAATGGAGCCTGTACTACCGAAACCTGTCCAGCCTTTCCCCGGGCCACCTGTGTGTGAGTACAATCTAAACTGCTTATTTAGCTGATTTATGCATTTTGCCATCTTTAAATGAAGGAAACTAATAAATAAATGTGCTTTTTCCGTGATTCAGTGAAATTTGTTGTCTCGTTTCTTTGGACAATTCAAAAGACATATTTTTGTTACATCTTATACTGTACAACTCAGTACGTGATTGATCAAAAATGTTTTTTCCGAGAACATGTACAACTTTGACAACATTTTTTCAAAGATCATATTTATTTTTAGGCAAAAGCAGGTAGTCTTCTCTGTTTATAATAAAAGACTGCAACACAATGATTTGCATAACTACTTCCAAATAGGTGAATAGAACGTGTTTGACAAAACGAAAAATAAATCATTTCGTTTTTTTAATTAGAAATCCTTTGGGAATATACTCTTAGAATTTCAATAAATAATAAAACAGTAAAAGAGATGACTTTTTTTTATTCAGCAATATATCGATTTCATTATTATTATATAAAAACGAAATGGAAAGCAAATGAATATCAAAATAAAAAAAACACATGTCAACAAAAGGCCCATGGGCCACATCGCTCACCTGAGCACCTTGGCTAAGAAAAAAGCAAAAATCAGTTCAGTATTGAAAAGTTTACGGGGGGGGGGGTTGAATTTTAAACTACCTGATGATGCTTTCATATCAATATAACAAATGGCTTTGCTGTTCTTGAGCAGAAGATTTTTTACCCATATATTCATTTGTAAAAATTTGATCCCCCATTGTGGCCCCACCCCACTCCCGGGGGCCCTCATTTGAACAAATTTCATTCTACACTACCCAAGGATGCCTCCATATCAATTTGACTAATCATGGCTTTTCTGTTATTGAGATAAAGATTTTTTTCTAAATATTCCTCTGTAAACTTTGATCACCCATTGTGGCCCCACCCTACCTCCCGGGGTCTTGATTTGAACAAAATTGAATCTACACTATCTGATGATGCTTCCATAGAAATATGACAAGTCATGGATTTGCTGATCTTGAGAAAAAGATTTTTTCTATATACTCTTATAAAAACTTTGATCCCCCATTGTGGCCCCATCCTATCCCCGGGGGGTTGGGGGTTGGGGGTGTCATAACTTGAACAAACTTGAATCTACTACATGAGGATGCTTCCATATAAATATGACCAATCATGGCTTTGCTGTTCTTAAGAAGAAGGTTTTTAAAGATATTTTCCTACATATTTCTATGTAAAACTTTGATCCTCCATTGTGGCCCCACCCTACCCCTGGGGTCAAGATTTGAACAAATTAGAATCTACACTACCTGAGGATGCTTCCATAAAAATATGACCGATCATGGCTTTGCTGTTCTTAAGAAGAAGATTTTTAAAGATATTTTCCTATATTTTTCTATGTAAAACTTTGATCCCTCATTGTGGCCCCACCCTACCCCCGGGGGTCATGATTTAAACAAATTTGAATCTACACTACCTGAGGATGCTTCCATATAAATATAACCAATCCTGGCCCAGCTGTTCTTAAGAAGAAGATTTTTAAAGATATTTTCCAATATATTTCTATGTAAAACTTTGATCCCCCATTTTGGCCCCACCCTACCCCCGGGGGTAATGAATTGAACAAAATTGAATCTACACTACCTGAGGATGTTTTCACATACGTTTCATCTTTCCTGGCCCAGTGGTTCTTGAGAAGATTTTTAAATGATGCCATTTTTTTTCACTAATTCCTAATTATCTCCCCTTGAAAGAGCGTGTGGCCCTTCATTTGAAAAAAATTTAATCCCCTTCACCCAAAGATACTTTGTGGCAAGTTTGGTTGAATTTGGCCCAGCGGTTGTTGAGAAGAAGTCAAAAATGTGAAAAGTTTACAGACAGACAGACGGACGCCGGACAAAATGTGATCAGAAAAGCTCACTTGAGCCTTCGGCTCAGGTGAGCTAAAAACAAAATAAAACAGATTACACGTGGCTATCAATGTTTCAGTACTGATCATATTTTAGGATATTTAATACAGTGATGATCTATGGTATTCACTAGTGCATTTTGCAAATACCTATAAAAAGTAATCTTTTATTTATTTCTGCTTTTTGCTTATTTACCTATATAATTTACAATACAGTTTTTTTTTCTTTACAGAGCTGTTTGTCCTTGCACCTCTGTTTGGATATATAACGGAGAGGATGTCACTGACAAGTGTAATAACAAAGGCTAATCATCTCACAGAAGAACATGGCACAAAATTGGACATATACCGATTTAAAAATTAATTTTTTAATTACTCCTGTGCTACGAAAATAAACAATTTAAAAGAAATAACGAAAATGCAATAATTTTAATCAAATATTTTGTGGTTTGAAAAGCATATACAACATTTTCACATCTATTTTAAAACGGATATACACGTTCTATTTTCATGATATCTCCGAAAGAAATTTGTGTCATCTTTGGATATTCTATTCTTTTTTATACAGTACAATACATTTCTAACAAGCATCTATATTTGCCAAGAATATTATATTTATGTTATTGTTTTATTATTGGATCTTGTATCTTGATTAATATTTCATTTCTTTTATTTTCTTACGTTCGTTGTGAAACCAGGATGCTGCAAGATAAGATCAGTTGTATATGATCTATAATAGGAGATATCGAGATAATCGAATGGTCAGTTGCCGAGCTCGGCTAGTCAAGAACATATAGATGGCCATTTTTGTATCTTACCGAATCCGAATAATAACATGTACTAGATCTTTCACGTTCTCTAGCTTTTTAGTTTGCTTACATTTAAAATATATAATGTTGGAATTTTCATGCAACATTTCTTAAGATAACTTTACAAGGATTATAAAAAAATTGTTGAGAAAATTCAATAGCTCAGTGTATTTTGTAAACTAGGCAGTTGTGAAAATATTGACGTGATATTCTGTGGTACATCAGGGGTTATGTTGCATGGTTTCTCCCTTGTAAAAAGAATTGTTTTGATATTTAGACAGATGCAAAACATCAAAAACTCTTCTGATACCATCTGAAAAAGACAAATCTCTTGACAGAAAATGAAATATCTCTGGCATTCCAAGTACATGTACAGGTAACGCCTATAGAGATAGTAAAGCTATGCATCAAAATTGGCACCGTATACGATTTACATTATGGCCCCTGGATCGAGGCCTCCGCTGGTGGACTGTTCAGTCCCTGAGCGTCTCTACAGCCCAGTAGTAAGTACTTCGGTACTAGCTTTAAAATACGAATATACATTTCATTGCTGTGGTAGAATTTTGAAATTTATTTCAAAATTAAGGAAAAATTCCCTCATGCATTTTGTTTAGATACAAGTATTTCAGATTTCCAATGTTTCGGCATGAACATCACTGAAGACACATAATTTGTGGAAATGCGCATTTGGTTTCATCAAAATCGGTACCGTATAAGATTTACCAAAAGAGTTCATATTTGTATAACATTACACATCTTTTTTAATTGAAAATAATAAAATATCTTTCGCCTCGGTCAAAACTTATGTTCTGGTCAATGGCAAATAACATTAAGTACATTAATTTAAAATATGAATAACTTTACATCAGTATAAAACAGTAAAGCAGCCTTTAGCGAAGTCAGAAACAGGGCAGAACCGAGACAAAGTGCAACAGGTTGAATTAATCAGTGCCTTCAAGGATGTTTCATAAAGAGGTAATATATATTAAATTAAAATAAATGCCCTGTATTTGACTCTCGTAATGGAGACAAAAAGTAAAAATGGAACATTGTTGTTACCACTTATGATGTACGGCATACCGAATAGCGAGTTTATTTTAGCGCGGTGCTTATATTGCCTTATTTTGGCGTTTTGGTAGTAGTCCGCTAAAATTTTAATCGCTAAAATATTCAGTGTTCTTCTTAGTGCTATTTTGCAAAGAGTTGGAACCCTGTATCCGCGAAAATAAATTACGCCAAAATTATTGGCATACTTTTAGCCAAGCAAAACGCTAAATTTTACACCCGCCAAGAAAAACCCGCTATGCGGAAATTTAGAATGTGTGGATTAGTTTATATTCATTTATGGCATATTTGTATCATTATTCAACAACAGTGCTGCAAATAATGATATATACTTCAATTATGATACTTAATGGTATCAATTACAGATGACGACGTCAATCAATTTATGATTTAAAATATTGCCTAAAGACGCACATTTAACAACCGATAATAAACACTATATGGATATATCATAAATAGATTAAAAATCATCTACTACTGAATAACTAAAGTCGCCCGCGTGGCACAGTGGTTAGAGCGCTTGCTCTAGAGTTGCGGAGTAAGGAGTTGATCCTTACGTCGCGGCCCTAATAAAAAAGTACTATAGTTAACTATAGTTTAATATAGTTAACTATAGTTAACTTTAGTATCAAAGTTTTTTCACTATAGTAAATCGAAGTATTTTTACCATGGATTTCAGATCGTTATATTTTTTGTTCTTCAGTGCATACATGCACATTTTTTATATTTAATTGAAATATTATTTGTATATTCACACATTATTTCCAAATTTTACATTACTGTTATCGAATTTTTGAGATTTTAAGCTTTGAAATCTGAAAAAAAAGTTCCAGAGTAAAGTTTCATAGTAAATCAAAGTATCAAAGTTTTCAATATAGTTAACTATAGTAAACTGTAGTTAACTATAGTAAATTTTTGTTAGGGGGGTTCGAATCCCACTGTGGGACGTGGAGACCAGTCCTTCGGGTGAGACCATATAAACCGAGGTCCCGTGTCGCAGTAGGTGCTAGCACGAAAAAGATCCCACACTGTTCAATGGCCCTAGGTGCCAAGTATAGGTCAAAATTTGCAGCTCTATACCTGCAAGTGGTGGCGTCTCCATATGAGTTAAAATTCTCGAAAGGGGCGTTAAACAACAAACAAACTTGAACGAGCACAAGACAGTAAAATTAAAAAATTGCAGTGAAAAACGTTTAAGAATTTTAATACCATTCGAAACAGATCAAAAGATTTTTTTTTTTTTTTTTTTTTTTTTTTTTTTTTTTTTTTTTTGAAATAAAACGTAATAATTAAAAATAAAAGAAATAAAGAAATTATACATTTATTGCATGATCGTGAGGGAAATATGAAGACTTATTCAGCCAAGAAAATCATATTCCCCGAGGGCTTCCCTTGAGAAGAATATGATATTTCTTGGCTGAATAAATCTTCATTTTCCTCAAACATTCATGCAATAAATTGTTTATTATACCAAAACAAGCAAAGAATTGACATAAACTTTCAAATTTGGCACCGCTCTTAAATTCACTTTCAAATTTAACGAAATGTTACTGAAACAATTTACAGAAGTCCATCAGCAATTTTGTGACCTGCACTAGGCTATTGTGACTTCTTCTACTCTCGGGAGTTTTCTTTCAACGAACGATAACTATTGCGGGAAAATGCACTTGGTCTCCGAAGACGTTGAATATGATAAAAAGCATGACGACGGCAGGGAAATATGAAGTTTTATAGCCATGTCACGTGATAATCTAGAACCAATCATATAACGCGTTATATAGAATAATAATAATGATACATAATGATATCATTTGCGTCAATGCAGAGAGAAAATTATTTCATAGTGCTATTTTTTTTTTATATATTCTGCATTCTTTTTTTTCCTTTTTTTTGATGTTTTATGCAACATACATACTCTGACTGGTTAATGTGTGTTTGTTTTTTGTTGTTTAACATCCCCCTCGAGAATTTTTCACTCGTATGGAGACGCCACCACTTGCCGGTGGAGAGCTGCAAATTTTGACCTATGCACGGCACATAGGGCCATTGAGCAGTGAGGGATCTTTTTCGTGCCAAATACCTACTGCGACACGGGACTTCGGTTTATATACGGTCATATCGAAAGGACCGGTCTTCACGTCCCACAGTGGGATTCGAACCCGCGACGTAAGGATCACCTCCTTACTCCGCAACTATAAAGTAGACGATATACCACTGCGCCACGCACGCGACCTGACTGGTTAATGCTCCTTTTTTTAAAAAAATAACAATATATTTTTCCAAACTAAAAAGGGATTTGACAGCAGGAATAAAATGCCTCCTTAGTCTACTCCCTAAATCATTTTTGTTTATTAGTATTATTTATTAAATCAATCATAAAAATGAACGATACTGTTGATCTTTTTTTTTTTATCAAGTAATGATAATAATTAAAAATAATCTGCAATACTTTACAATACAGTAGAAATTAAAAAGGGCACCATTATAAAACAGAACCGATTTGTGAACATACTTTGGTGCTAAATCCGAAAGTAAATGGTTCATCTTACTACATAACTACCATTTCGAAAGTAATATTCATGATATATTCAGTTAATTTAGGTCCGTACTCGAATGACATCATCAGTAGTAATAATTTAGTTTACAATGGATTGAAAATGTATAATGATGATAATTAGAGAATAATAGAATTATTATAGATATTGTTTTAATCATTTTACATCATTTTGCATGAGAGGTATAGGAATCAAATGTGTAGAAGACAATCATTAAGACTTTTGAGTCAACAAAGAGAAAGACTCTTTCTTTCACCTTAATATTTAAAGCTCTGCTACTGAAAACTTCTCTTAACACCTTGATACTGCAAACCATCACTCAGCAAAAAAAAAAAAACAAAAAAAAACAAAAAACAAAAAACAAAAAAAAAAAAACATAAAAAAAAAACATTAAAATCAACAAAAAGACTGTAGTCGACCTAATCCTGATAAACCAAGCCGGAAGGTTTGACCTTCTTCCAAAAAAGGCCTGTATTTAACTGAAAGTAAAAAAAGCATGTTATTGAATCGTTTATCAACTGATAAAGGACATTTTACTTAAGAAATCAATAAAGAAGAAAAATAACTGTAGAATATGAACATTGATTTTATAGATTAACAAGGCAAGGGAGTGAGCATCCCCTGTCATCCGTGTGCTCCTTGTCATGATCGGAAAAACCGGAAATGTCCGTAGACAATTCAGTGCCTAAATAATGGCTTAACTATTAGTATGAAAAGTCAGTCAGCATTTTACTTAATGATAATTTTTCTTGCTGACAAGGTCATTGTATCGACCATAAAACTTGCGAAATGATGACTTCAAACGAGACAGTTGATAACCTTGTTTCAAAAAAAACTTGTTTATCAATAGGTTGCCTCGTTTCAGAAACTGTTCATACCTAGAGCATGCTCTTGTCTATCGAATCAACTGGGTGACAAAAACTGCATATGCAGGTGATAAGGGTATACTGCTATATATGTAAGATATTAAAGGAATTTTGAGGATTGAAAAATTGAAGTCATCACGTTTATCATAAAGCTTTATTGTTAGGTTACCATTAACGTCTTTTTCTAGTAAAATATCCAAATATGAAACAGATGTGTCAGACACTTTGGTATCTTTTATTTCAATCTCACTGGGATATATCGAGTAGACATATGAATGAAAGTAATTATTGTAAATTGATAATACCGGTACTTCCACGATATATTTAAATGTCGAGTTGAAGGCCACAGCAAGTGTTTCTTTTTAAGTAGAAGTTTTTGAGTAAATTCTTCTTCATATGAATACAAAGATAGGTCTGCTAATAAGGGGGCGCAATTAGTACCCATGCTTATTCAATCAGATTGTTGGAAGACCTGATCTCCAAAAACTACATAGCTATTGTCAATCAAAAACTCAAGCATCTTTTTAATATCATCTTCAGAGTACTTGTATGTAGAATTCAAAGTAGATAGGAAATCTCAGAATTGAGATGATTGACTATGCTTATTTTTTCGTCCAAAAAATCCTACATCTTACTGCTTTAAGGTTAAATATCAACAGATTTAATACTCTCTAAAAAAAAATTTATTCATCCTTATAATTTTCCAAAAGAAAATTAACATATTTAAAATGCATACTATATCGCATACCTTGTGGCGCAAAATTAAACCAAAAATTGTCTTTAAATTTATCATCATATTTCAAAATATCATTCTCACTGATCTCATTTACTCAGGGAAAGTATGTGCTTGTGAAATATATTAAGTATGCAAAATTACAGATTGGACATTTAATTGAAATATTAGAACCATATTAATATTAGTAATAAATTATTAGCTTACCAGAAGGAGGAGAAAAGTCAGTCTCTAAATTAAAAATGTCATTTTGATAATATGTCAGACAACCATGCACATATATAGATATCACAACTGACCAACCTCTGAACAAAGAATGTCCAGAAAAACAAGAACCTTCTGGAGGGAAAAAACATTAACCAATCCCCAAGTAAAATAAAAAGTAAAATACCAATGAAATTAAAAGAAACATCCAACATTAGGCCTGGATATAATTAATGACTTAAGACCATTTCTATCTATATACACCACAGACCATGTGTGAATGCACACAAAAGGTTTATAAACGAAATTATTATATTGTTCAATATGTGCATTTTAAATCAAAATGAATATGACATATGACCTTATCATACATGTACATAATACAAACATGTATGCAAAGAAAAATTAGTAAAATATGCATCTACCACAAATACCCCGATTCCACACGGTGAGAAACGGGTTACGTCACAATATCCCACAACAACGACGGGTCCGAAATCAAACCCGCGTGCAAAAATCCCTATCAAACCGGAAATTACATTATTATAAAGATAAAAAGTTAATTAACTTGATTTAATTGAAATATAGTTATAATATATAATTCTTGTACTAAACTTTGTCGACTTAATTTATTCTAAAAGATCTAAAATTGTCTCTATTAGATTTTAAAGAAAAAGGTAATTACAAGCACGAAACACTCTAAAATGGCTTTATTAAATATTTTGAGTATATGATAAAGCGAATAACACATACTAAAAGCCATATCATATGTCATATCAGCCGTATATAATATTCTCTATTTAATAGATAGCTTAACGACCATTGATCATATAATTGTATTACTGTAAATGTATCATATTTAGTGTGTACGATATTTAGCGGAAACTGTTTTTGAACACGTTGGCGTGGATTTGATTTAGCGCATTTCTTCATGTTCTTATATATGTATATATGTGCAACACACTCAGCGTTGTACTTGAATTAGCGAAAGTTTCTTTCCGCCAAAAGCGCTAAAAGAATACACAGCCAAATGTAATACATTTACAGTATTAATCGACCTCCATACCGACAAAAAATGATACTACGTTCACGTCTTATAAGAGCTGTATCTTGTATGGATGGCGATTTCACACATTTATGATAAAAAGAGAAATATTTCCAATAATGCACGTTCGTCAATCGTTAATGAATTTATATAAATATGTCATATCGATACAAGGTGTAACAGAGTAAGGCTAGAATCAGGACAAGATAATAACAATTAAAAGATATTTTATTTGGTTACATACGTCACAGATTCAACACAACAATTAAAGTTCAATATAGAATTCACAATGTAATAAAGTGATCGTATAGTTTTCAAAAGAATGTTTCTATTTCCAAAATAATTCGAAGTGAACGTCTTAAAGATTCTAAAGACACTTATCAAAGTCAGGTAGTTGCTCGCCAGTTCAGGGGAGGAGATATTCCAGAGTCTCTGATCGGTAGAGTTCTCTCTTTCTCTCAATCTAAGTCTCTCTCTCTGGACGTCTCCTGTGTGGACCCTTTTATACCCATGTCCAGTCTCCAAGGTACTGGTGTATGGCAACACTCGTGTCCAGGCAAACTGCTGGTCATAGTTTATATCTTACTGATCCTATTAAACCACTTATGGGATGTTTTGGATCAAAATGACTTTGGTCAATAAAAGGCAGAATAAGTTAATGATCCGATTCCAGCTGTTAATTAATCTTAGTGGCTTAGGTTAGTCACCTTTTAAGCCAGAAATAGAAATGTGTTCCTTAAGATGAATAGATGAAATTCGGACCAATAGAATAATCCGATGATCCAATCTCCTTTTAGAGATATTTTAAATTAATTCCATAATTCGGATTAAAAGAAGTATCACATTTCAGTACATTGGTTCTTAAGACAAACACAGGGATTATTATGCCCTGAGACACTTGTTTGTCAATAAGATAGTTTTGTTATTATTATAAGAGAGATAGTTTTGTTATTATAAGAGAACTCAGATACAGAGATATCATAAATAGATAATGCATACAAAATATATAATAGATAATGCATTAATAAACATAAACATTATTAGTGTGCACATCAATTGTGTTATAAAGGTCGTCCATTAATGCATCATTATATCGACAGCGAATTGCGTATCATTTATGATTATTATAACTCCTAAGCTTTCGTGGCGAAAAACAGGGAGAAAAAAGTTTTGTTTAGGGACTTCCTAAAAATGCAATCAGCAAAATGATACGGTAGTCCAAGTCTTGAATTGAAATGATAATCATACCGATTAAATTATATCTGTTAGGTGTAATTTTATGAACAGATACAGTTTTGGGAACAACTTAAGATCTTGCTGGATATAGTTCATCCGGAGGCAGCTGTTATTTCGTTATTGTGCTGTTTCATCTAGAATATGTATATTGTAGCATAAAAATACTAATCTTACTTTTCTCTTTTAATTTATTTGTTTCTAAGAAAAATTTGGAGAAGAGTATTTCTTAAAGTAAGCATTATTCAAGTTGGATGGCCTTATCGATTCAAATGGAATCAAAGACGATTTCCTATCGAAGTGCACAACCCTAGTCATTCATGAGGATTTAATCTGGCAATCTTTGAAAACAGATTAGAGTACAATTGATTTTATATTTTCTAATTAAAAATACAACCTGTTTTCATAATTATCAAGCTACGGTTACCTTCGATTACTAGTACTCGATCGTGGTAGGAAGATTGTAGGTTCATGTATAGGCCCTGAAAAATCAATTTGATAAAAGAAAAAAAATTAAAAAAAAAAAAAAAAAAGATAGGTAGCAACTGTACTTAGAAGTGAAAGTTTTCGGTAATGAATTAAACCGATGACACGTATAACGGCAGGCGTTGACAAGATTCCCCATAGATCAATGGCCCTGAGTAGAGAGTAAAACTTTAAATTTGTCTTTTTCATCAGTATAAAAATCAGTATAAAATGACATCTCATATGAGTAAAAGATCTCGCAAGGGACGAAAAGCAAACATCAAAGAACCTTCGATTATTTTACGAAAAAGATGGAGCAGAACAAGATAGAAATCAATATTGACAAATTGTAATTGTATCGTTTTTAATAAGCATTGAAGCATATATTGTTTCTTTGCTAAAATAAATTTCTGATGTATAAGGTAATTCCAGTATAAAACAAATGTTGAAATGAGTCATATTTGTAAGTCCTCATCATTCAATTGATTTATTTGAGACACAATATTCTGAAGGAGTTGCTCTAAAATTTTGATAATTTATTTCTTTGAAGCTGTTTTCTCATCATGAATATAATTTTACATTTTATCTCATTTCCAAACTCACTATTAATTTAAAACTTAAGAATGTAAGACATGTTTCCATGTGACGAAATGAAAGTGTTGTAAAACAATGACCTGTACGATTCTTGATCACTAATACAGCAAAAACCAATTTACCTTCAACCTGCATGATTTGCTGAAAGGCTGCGACCAATTTATTTTTAACAGTTAAAAATGAATCATGGAGTAAAGCTTAACTACTGCATTCAGTTGAATTTTAACACAATTAAATTTTTGTCGTCAACTTTTTTTCATTACAGTATTTGTAAACGTATAAAACATTTTGCTACATTTTACGGCATGAAATAATTTGACTTTTTATGAGCGTGTGTCATCAGCCATACATTCATCTCTGATTCACATGCTTTAACTACACTTTTCGCATAGAATATCATGCTTTCCTATGAATGGATCACAGTATCGGGCAATAAGATATAATAAGTCTTTGTAGTATCGAATTCTATAAGAAGCATTATGCTCTTCATTTTTAATCTTATACTATTTATAAATTAAACATGAAAGCACTAAATCAGAGAAAAATAAGAATAGTGGTTCTATTCGGCATTCTTGGTAGCATGGTTTAATTTTTTATAGTATAGCCGTACACGTGGCTTCTGCCCACAGATGGAGGCTTAAGTTAAAGCAGTAATTCGACCAAAAAAACATTTCACATTTTATTATATATCGCTGTTACATATTGTAAATCAACACAAAACACATGTTATATGCGTTCAGTTGTAAACGAATTTCTTTTCAATGTTGATCCATGTCTTTGATATAAAGCTTTATATGTATTGCCAGCCCCCTTCTATTTATTCGGAAGGAAATATACATGATGTTTCTGAGGGTCTTTTTCTTGCTTTGGGTAAGACACAATCCCTTACTTTTCCTTAACGGATAATTATTTCTAATGTTTTAAACATATCTTTATCAATCTACTTTGGGCATTGATATATCTTTCCGCCAATTCATTTTTTTTATTGATATGTATTTGTATTTTTTATACATTGAAATATTTTACCTTTAGGTTATTGCCGTGGTACACGGACGGTTTGGGACTTTTCTCCATGGTAAGTTATTGCCGTGGTAAACGGACGGTTTGGGACTTTTCTCTATGGTAAGTTATTGCCGTGGTACACGGACGGATTGGGATTTTCTTCATGGTAAATAATTGCCGTGGTACACGGACGGTTTGGGACTTTTCTTCATTGTAAGTTATTGCCGTGGTACACGGACGGTTTAGGACTTTTCTCCATGGTAAGAGAATTTCACTCCTTTGGTTTTCTTGGTACGAATGACGCATATATACTGTATACAGGGAAATTTTCGCCCCCGTTTTATTTTAGCCCCTTTCGCCCTACTCACAGGTGGGCGAATTTAAAACGGGACGAATTCACAGAATACAATATCATTTCTTAAACAGAACTGTGACAGGGCAATATTGTTTGCAAGTGTGAAAGGGCGAAAATAACACGGGACGAAAATAACCCTGTATACAGTAGCTGCTAAAAACTTCGTGATAAAAAAGTCGAATTAATTTTCAATTCTCAATAAATTTACTTTAAAAAAAAGAAGGTTTTTTTTTTTTAAATCAACAACGTACGAGGGGTTATCAAAAAGTTCGTGGACTAGCACCATAAAATTAAAACCGCTTTGGGTACATCAATGATTTTTTACACATTTAGTTAGCATCATCTTTTCTATCTATAGGATAAACCATAAATCATAAGTTTTATTTTTTGATAAATTGTTAATGTTTTTGTAAGCAATGGTATGTCCAACCTCAAATATGACGTTTTTTTTTCTACCTGAGTGTAACTGAAAAAAAAAACTCTTTTGATGTGAGCATTTGTCCTCAAAAAATCCCGTCAATTCAGATATTTGGAACGACGCAATTGTTCCGTAAAATTTGCAATTTTTACCCTATTCTGTAAGTTCTATGAAATTTTATCGTAAGCTTTATATGGAGTGTCCAAACAATTAAGGGCTTGAAAATGACGTCAAAAAGGGGGAGGGGTTTCTTTTTCCTACATTCTATATTGTTTCGCACCTGGAAAAACTGGTATAGACCTAGGGAGTGTTTAAACAGGCTACAGAAAAATAAAATGCATCCAGAGTACTCGTTTTAAATACTCAAAAAGATTCAGAGAGATGAAAGATGCACAGTTAATGTCGATTTGTAGTCATTGTCAAAAGTCAGTCACGTCGAAAAGTGACGTTGATCATGTGTGGTAGAAAATGAACTCCAACAAGCGAAGTGTTCTGGCATAATCAAGTTCGGATCTTTCCCTATGTATAGATCCATTTACAATATTATATGCATTGAAAGCAGCTGTTCATGACATTGTAAAGTCATATAAACAAGACGGGATTAAGTCTTACTTATTACTCCAGGTAAATTCATCAAGATAAGTGTATGAAGTAGATAGAGCGGTCATTGAGAAACAAAACGGCGACAGCGCCGGGTGATCATATAATGTCTTTTTTATTTTAGAATAATTTGGCAAATTATCAATATATCGAGCTAAAATTTTCAACATTTCTTAAACTTTTGTTGATTTATGTTCCTTATAAATTTTGTAAGCACAGACTACATAGTATTAATTTTATCGAATCAGTCCACAAACTTTTTGATAACCCCTCGTACACTGTGTTAATGATTTCTGACGGTTGTACTTATTCACATGGTTACTGTTTTTGGTAAGCATAACGTCGTTGGTTTTTAATGACGCTGGGGATGAAAAATGAGCCAATTAAAAGTTAGAATTTATAATTATTTAGAGAGGATGTTTTCTTTTAAACCACCCACCAAAAAACTACATGTAGTTTTTTGGCCTGTTTGTTTGTTAAAGAAGGTTAAACTCTTTAACACAATATAAAATTTTAATGCAGAATCGCTGATTTATAACGTTATTGCATTTATGCAACCCCAGGGACGAATTCTTTATGATTGAATGTTTCACGTGTTGTTACAAACAGGAGATAAATATAGAAGTTAAACATTTCGTTAAGTGTCGAAATAAAGTATATCTTGCACCAGTATATTTCACCAGGGGCGCACGCTACATAGGCTGTGGGTATTTGCATAGTGTGCCCTCAGGTGAGAGATTGTTTCTCATACGTGTCTTATTTCTGCTGTAGGAACTTCCTGTACAGAAGCCAAAGATCCGGGTCCTTGTAGAGGTTCCTTCCGGAGATGGTACTTCCATCCGTCTGACAACACATGTCGGAGGTTTATATATGGCGGTTGTGGGGGAAATGGCAATAACCACAGATCTTTAAAGAGCTGCCTGGATGCTTGTAATGATGGTATGTTAATCAATATACAAATACTTCAACAAACGTGGATATAACAGATTACAAGCAGTAATCCCAGTCCCACGAATCCCACAAAAATATAATCTTAAAAAGGGCATAATTATGGAGCCCTCAAAACACAAAAGCTGGGATCAGGTGACAAGGAAGAGTAGGCATCTTCTCAACAGGCCTCAGCCTCCATGAGCTCTCTGTTTTGATGAGGTTAAAGGAGTAATTCAGTCAAAATTTGTTTGAAAAAATGGTCTAACATGAAACATTTCGGTCAAAGGGGTTACAACTTCTTGTAAACAAGGTCAATATAACGACCATAGAATTCACTAAATACTGACTTTATAGGGACGACCAAAAGCCTGTAATATCAACTTATTTGTCAGTAGCCTGCCTCGCTTTAAAACGAATTTTAACTCGGAACATGCTTTGCGTACCGAATCAGCTGGCAGCCAAATAGAACATTTGCAGAGGATAATGAATTAATTTGACATAAAAATTTAATAAGGATAAGGTCCAATATGAGCCTTTAAACCGATGTATTTTCATTTTGTTTTAAATTTCCTAAAGGGGCACGTGTCCATATTGACTTTGTCCAATTTGAATTATCTCTACTAGGCAAAGGCCAAAAATAAAACGGATTCGATAATTATTTTTCTTCAATACACATATCTATTTTTACGGTTGATTTGCACAGCAGCCTACTAAAATGAAATTATTTCAATTCTCAGGTTGTCCAAACGGAACAAACCCAGATAAAATACGATGCATTGTGGGAGCTTGCACCATTCAAACCTGCCGACGCTACCCATGGGCTATTTGTGTGTATGTATAGCTTTTGATTCTCTTAAAATAATATTTTGTACCATATTTCGAAAGGACGAATTTTCAGGGGAAAAAAAAAATCAGTAGATGTTAATTTTCATTCTCTTTAGTTCTAAATGTAAACGGGCGTTTTTCCTATAGATCTATGAACGCAAGCAATTTTTTTCTTACGTGATAAAAACGCGTAAATATTGTTTCATGACATTTTGAAAACAGTGGGGAAAAAAACTGAGAAAACCTATGTATCAACTCATATCATCTTACAGGAATCTGGTATAAGAATAAATTATCGAGTTATCCCTCTTTGTCTTAGATGTATAAATTTCTTTTAAAAATTAAATCGGTATTTAGATATTTTTTGTACATATAGCAAGATCAAAGAGAAAGAGAAGAAAACTACAAAATAGTGAAAATATATTGGAGTCATTTAAAAAAATATATATTTCTTCCCATAAACTGATTAGGATAATATCAGTACAGAAAGAAAAAACAATATTTCTGAAATACTTAGTCTAAAAAAAAAAAAATAATAGTAGTTCGCGGTGGAAAACAGAGGAGCCATGATGTGTTAAATTAGAAGGGAAACAACATCTTGTAGCTCGGTCTAAGAGCTAAAATAAGAGGTTTTCATTTATGAATCTGTTTCAATGATCGGCATTGTTGTCTATAGTCCTCTTTTTGAAATAACATTTATTTATAAAAATAATGCATGTGTCAATCAATTTTGTTTTTGTTTTAACAAACCATAGGTAGCTTCCAAGGACCCCCAATACGCTATGGGAAAATGCTTTTGTTAATTGAGAAATTACTTTGTACATACATGTAGATTAAAAATAGTCATCTTTACCCACAGGAAACAACACAGCATTCATAATAGAAATCACTGTTGCTTAATTAAATGGGTAAAATATGCCAACTTAGTGTGCAATCAATTTACTTTGGTCTGATGAAATGCTAAGAATTCTTCGATTTTTTTTAATCAGCATTGCGCGGTATATATTTCATTTTATTTTATTGAAATCACCAACTGAAAAAAAACCCACATTATTAGACTGAAACTCTTTGATGTGAAGTGCCCTAAAAGTGTCAGTACATTTATCATGTTGTAAATTTTGAATTTACTAAGTGGAGGGAAATGCAAAATTTACATTATGTATCATGTTGGTAAAGTTTGCATTTACCTCCATCTAGTAAATTCAAAACTTACAACATAATACAAGAATTAATAATTCCCATTATTTTTAAATCTACATGGTTTCATTACCTATTTTTAGACCTAGATGTAACGGCTGTATCTCACAGTTCATCTTATTTGGGAGGGACGTGACGAACAGGTGCCACAGGCGAGTTCCCGTACCCCCCAAACGACGGCGACCGGTGCTTATCGTGAGGAGGCGGAAATCTGGAAATCGAAGACGGAAGCATTTACATAAAAGACGGAAGTATGTGAATCGCAGAGGGAAGTTGGTGGTTCCTAAACGGAAGCCCAAAGATAGGAATCTTCGAAGTCCCTGAAAAGTCCGGGGTTGATGATATTTTATCAAAATGATGCGTTCGCATGATATAACGCAATAAAGTAATCAGACTGATTTTACCTTTCCTTCATTTTTCAGTATGAGTTAAAGAGAGGAAAGCGCATTTAAGCATAATTAACGTCCTAAATTTCTGCAATAATTCTAGTCCCTTTCTTCTAGTCCAATTCTGGTTCCCCTGCAAAAATAAGGCTCAGGGTCCAAAGGCCTTTAGAGGATTCTTGGAGGGGGTGGCTGATCGTGGAAATTAATAATCTATCCTCAAAAATGTTGAAAATAAATAATCTGTCCTCGATTAGCAAAAAAAAAAAAAAAAATAAAAAATAAATAATTTGTCCTCGACTAATGCTACTAACCCCCCCCCCCCCCCAAAAAAAAAAAAAAAAAAAACCACGAAATAGAGTTTTTGAGTTTGGGCGTTTTCCTGTTGGGGGGGGGGTCTTTTTTCAGTGAAGAAGAATATTAAGTAATTTGTGTCCTTGATCATCTTGAAAATAAATAATCCGTTCTTAACTGGCATGAAAATAAATAATCTGACTATAGAAATTTTGCCAGCCCCCCCCCCCCTTCTCAAAATCAAACGGTCGTCCCCTTATCATCGAAGCAAAACGAAATGCAAATTGCATCTATTACTTATCAAAGTACACTGACATATATATTATTATGAAATTCAGCTAAATATTTGCAAACATGTAGAATAAAAGGTGGAAAACCCAGTGGGACAAATTGTCCGACAAACGGCTAGACAATCATGCAGCAGATAGGGTGAAACCTATAGTCCCTTCCGGTAGGGGACTAAAAGTGATAATTTTAGAATTATGCGCTCAGGAAATATTGATAAAAAAAAAAATATATCAGCGTACTTGAATACTGAACGTCATATAGATGTATAATGCTGACCTACAAGAATTATAGAATACATGATGAAACTATGAGGGTGGCACGGGATGGTCGTGCTCCGTCCCCTGTAATTTATATATAGTAAACTATAAAAACAACCAAGCTACTTTATGATTGTGCAATAACGTCTGATAACCTTTTCCCGCATAATTTCCTTGCCAAGGAATTTTTGCTTGGTAGACCCCCACCCCCTCCATGAAAATGTTTGATTGCCTCCCTCCCCCCATCCCCCAACTGAAATTGCTTCCTAGGGGTCTGCATTCAGTTAACTAAAATGTTACAGGAAGGTGACTAAATGTCAGAAGTCTGTCATTCAGTCATATTTCCAGATCTTTATGTCAACATTATGTTTACTGACCAGCGCATGCAGTTTCATAACATGGGAACAAATAAAAAGAAATGAAGTGAGTGTATTATACATGTGCATATGAAGCAGTGTTGTGAAAAAATGGACTATCTCATATATACTCAAATAAAACAACAAGAAAGTCTTTAATCAGCAACATTTTTTTCCTCATTTAGATAAAAAAAAAATGGTAAAATAAAATTCGATCTAGTATCTCATAAGGATGGGGGAAATAAAAAAAACTCAATGACATCCATATTTCCCTTTTCAGATTAATTATATAGATCCTAATATAAAACTGGGATCTATTTCCCTTTTAACTTTTTTTAAAATTAGTCTGAAAAACTCGAATTTTTTATACTTAAGAATGCATTGCATTAATGAAATATCGATCTCCTTTTCTGTGTATATAGTCGTTTGTTCTAGATCTGCTATAGGCGGATCCATGTATATGTAACAAATTCTTTTTTAGAAGAGAAAAGGGTCATTCTTATGTATATTCAGTATACATGTAGTAAAAAAAAAAAAAAAAAAAAAAAAAATCACCTTACATACCAGACTAGACCCCTGCCCCATACTTTACCCCTTTACCCACTGGACGTAACCCCCCCCCCCCCCCCGGTGATCCCTAATCCAATCCCTCCCATTTATATTGTGCAGTCATTCTGTTGACACCTGTAAAGAATGAATACGCCGAATATGATGCCAATATTTTTAACGTCTAAAGGTGTGTAATACTTAGAAAATTACACTGCAAGCTATAAAGAATTTCTTAACCGTCTTTTCGTATAAAAAGTTTCCAGTTAAATGAAGCATAAATTGTACATGAACATTTGGATTAATTTTGTTATATGAGCACACGTGTTCATTGGTAAGTGACATATGGGCGGTTTAAACAGGACTGCCTTGCTAACGCTAACAATTAAAATTCATTTTTTTCCCCACATTTGTCTGATTTCAATAATTTATATATAAAATATATCTTTCATAAATTATATTGTTTTTAATTTGTTTCTTACTACAGAAATAAGTTGTGTTCATTCATATTTATATTAAATATATTTTTAAGATGAAAAACTAGTTATGTTCATATATGCATGTGTATATATATACATATCTTGATGGGCTTGTGAAAATTAAATAGAAGATGTACGAAATTATAAAAGAGAGAGAGAGAGAGAGAGAGAGAGAGAGATGAGATTCAAATCAAAAGATGAGAGATTTGCACCTGTCATTTCCAACGTGATAAAACATTATATCGCCGGATTCAATGATTCGCTATATCATTTATCTCGACACAAGTGCATACGACTCTTTGTCAACAGAAGTACCTGTACACTGCTGGAGATGAAGTATTCTATACTCTTTATCATGAAGGTATGTTTCATTTTAATCTTTAGAGTCGGTATTTCAGTTAAATGCTGTCCTTATTTTTGACCGATTTATCTTTGGACTTGGCTAAAATATATATCATATTTAGGACAGTTATCATGTAAAGATTTCATGTAATGACACATGTTTAAAAGTCAAGTGTACATCATTACAATAAACATATACTTAAAGTTTTAATGACCCTCTTTAAATAGGCACACCCAAACTTTTTTTTGTGAAATAAGCACACACACACACACACACACACACACACACACACACACAAAGAAACAACCTGAAAATTCATTTTTTTTTTTTTTGTGGTCTTTTTAAAGGTCTGCTGCTAGATTTTTTTTAAATCTAAAATGTGGACATTATGACTTTAAAAATAAAAATCGGTTCAGAGGAAGGGGTAAACCTCCCGGACCCCTTCCCCCGCCATCCCCTTTCCGGAAACCTGGGGAAGGCCCTGCAATAATGGTTCAGACGAAGGGGTATCCCTCCCAGACCCTCCCCGCATTCCCTTTCCAGAAACCTGGGACTGCCCTGCAATACTAGTAATAAAAAATGATGCTAGGAAATGAGAAAATTATATGAAATATATAAATAAATGAATAATAGAAAACCATAAAAAATAAACAAAAACATTTAAAACAAACATACAAACAAATATACAAAAAAAAACGACAACTTGCTATATTTATTTTCTTCTATTGCAGGTTTTTCTCTTCTTTTATTTTTGTGTTTTGGTGAGATCGGCAATATGTAAGTAAATACATAATGCATAATATGTAGTAACAAACATGAAGATCAGCAACCCATCAATTTCAGTGTGTTCGTGAAACATAAAATACACAATAACCCCCCCCCCCCCTTTCCAATTCTTTCAGTGCGCGTGTTAGTAAAAATATAAAATCCGCAATCCTACCCAAACCCTTTTTCAGCGCATTCATATAATATAAACTCCACAGTGTTCATTTCATGACACATTCTCCTGTGTATTTTGGGAGGTTAGAATGCATGGAGGGTTAATTTAGATATCGTAAAAAAAATGAAGTACAGATTTTGGCTTTTTTTTTTTTAAACCTTCTAAACGTATGTTTGCAGCGTCGGTGTGTCATCTTCCAAAGGATGTGGGTATGTGTGACGGATTATGCCCTCGATGGTTCTACAACGCCCATACGCACAGGTGTGAGGAGTTTTACTATGGCTGCTGTGGTGGAAACGCAAACAACTTTAGAACGGAACAGGAATGTTTGAACTCATGCAATAACGGTATAATGGCAGTCTGAATTCCGATATGATTAAAAACAAATCAACTTGAAGTCACGGAGAACATTGATCAAATCCAGTTTTAGAAATTTACTCTTTTTGTCATTTTCATCATTGGGGAATTGGTACTAAATTAAAACAAAATTCTTAATTAAGAAATGAGGTATCATTATTCGTTTGTGATTTGATCACATGACCAACCCGTATTTACATAAAAGTATAAAAATTGTACCTTATTTTTAAAGTAATTGACTTGACTATGAGTTAAAAGGTATTTTTAATTTTTTTTTTATTTATTTATTTAAAACCATAGTTATATTGATCGACCGTTAAGGTGTGCATACAAAGTTTTGAGTGTCAAATATTCCTTTACTTTTGTGTTATCATTTCCTGTTTGTATCAGGTTGCCCGAATGGTCAATCGAACATATTTTGTAAAGCGCCTGCCTGTCAAGTGACGTCATGTCCAAATTATCCCCGTGCCTCTTGCAAGTAAGTACTTTTTTTTATAATTACATGAGTAAGATATGGTTATGTTACTACAAAGGAAACCTTTTAACAATACACAAATTAATGCAATATACTGTTAGAATATGACGATACTTTTGCAATTCGTATTAATTCGGTCGGTACTTCTACGGTTCTCTCGTGTTCACTGTGTGAGTAGGATTATGGAAATAGCTTTAGGCTGAATATGTGGATCGTTATTGAAAAGAAGGAAAAGAAAACAAACAAGCAAACAAAAAACAAACAAACAGACAAACCAAAACAAAACAAAACACACACGCATTTTGAGAGGAAAAATGTATATAGCCAGTAAGAGAAATCGAATGCTGATATATTTCATTTATTATAGTATGATGTATGTGCAACTAAATATCGCAATTAATTTTAATAGGTATATATATGATATATTTTTGTGAAATTAATCTAGCAAACCCCTCAGGCCTTTGAACATATTGCCCCCTAATCCATTGTTAAAACCTTGCAAAACACTATAGTGCAAAAACTATTAAATTAAACAGAGAAAAATACAAACTAAAGTTTAGATATATATATTGCTCAGTCGTATACAAATTTATCTTCCAGAGAGGTGTGTAACGGCTGTGTGGCCATTTTCACGTCGAATGGGGAAGATGTCACAAGCACGTGTCAGTCACTGGGATACTGAGCTTTAGATGGTTCTTTGATTCTTTATAATTAAATAAAGCTATATCAGACAAAATGAAAATAATATATCGCCTTCTCCTTGGTCAGGGAGAAAGGAAGATGCAGAAAGATTTAGAAAGTGTGGGGCGAGCTAGCTGGTGTATTTGTATATACCCCCCCCCCCCCCCACCACCACCACCACACACACAATGCCAACAGTTTGTCGGAATTTCTACAAAGTAATTTTGTTGATGACCAATCACAAGATACGAAAATTGTCCATATATATATATATATATATATATATATATATATATATATATATATATATATATATATATATATATATATATATATATAAAGCACTAAAAACCAACAATACTGTATATCCTAAGTGTCGGATCTACTAAGTAGATACAAGGTCACGGATGGAAATTTATATAAAGCACTAAAAATGACCAAAGACACGAACAATAATAATTGTCAAATTTTCGGGACGACCTGTCCCTTCCTCGGGACAAAGAAAAAAGTTAAGAAGTCATAAAAACAAAGGAAATAGAGAAGCAAAAACAACTAGCACTACTACTAAACTACCAAACGGACTAAATATTTACAATGTTACATGTTTAATTTGGAGTTTATAAAGAAATCCGGAGCGCTATGAATTGCGTCCGGTCTATCGGGTGTACTCCAAATTAAACATGTAACATTGTAAATATTTAGTGTTTGGTAGTTTAGTAGTAGTGCTAGTTTTTTTTGCTTCTCTATTTCCTTTGTTTTTATGACTTCTTAACTTTTTTCTTTGTCCCGAGGAAGGGACAGGTCGTCCCGAAAATTTGACAATTATTATTGTTCGTGTCGTTGGTCATTTTTAGTGCTTATATATATATATATATATATATATATATATATATATATATATATATATATATATATATATATATATATATATATATATAAATGCCTAGTTTTCCATTCATCTTGAGGAATGGTTGTATAAAGTGTAGAAAAGTCGACGTTTTAATCTTATTGCCTTAAAAAAAAGACGATTTTAAAATAATTTCCTAAAATGTCTGAAATTTCTCCTATAGGCCTATATCTTTTTTAAAAAGTGAAAAATTATGTGTCTCAAAATATAACGAAATTAAATAATTTTTTGTTTGTAAATTTCTTTCTTTAAGAACAATAAAGAATCTTAAAGCCTATTATCGATGTTGTAATTTACCTCAGTGGGAAGATTGTACATGTTTAAAGTTTTAATACAAGTAGTTTCGCCATTTGCGTTGGGGTTTAAAATCGATCTAAAGTAACGATTTCAGTTGACACCGTTTCAAAATGGCGACGTACACAAAAGTATCGGACGAACGAGTATTATTTAGTCTAAAGGTGTTTATGTTATATGGTAAGAGAGTTTTATAGGATGTTATTCATAATTAATAGATATTATTGGATTACATTTTTCGTTTTATGCTTATGTTTTGTTTTTTATTTAAGTTTACCTCATTAGATTACGTGTTCAGCGCGATATTTGATTTTGCAATCGGTTACATGGATCTGTAACAGTATAGGTCTAATAGTAATACTATTACACATATAATTATATGATATCACGTACTGATAACAAAAACTGTGGCCATGTTTAACATTATCTTTCAATATCATCTGTCATTTTTACGCTAACCTCTGTCTAAACTGTTCATTTTCCTAAATTAAAGAGATATTTCACTGTTATGTTCAGTTTGACTCCCTTTCCCTATTTAAAATGCAAATCCTGGATACACCATTGACCCAATATAATAATGTACAATAAGTTACATCAACTTACATATATCGTAACATTGTATGATATTTCAGCAAATTCAGTTGTTTAAAAGGAGGGGGCAGGTGGGCTTAAGCATGTGTGGCGGTCAGACGGGTTCGATCTCTGGTGGCCAGATAGCTCAGTTGGTAGAACACCTGACTGGAGATTCAGGGGGCACGGATTCGAATCCCGGTCTGGTCCGCTGCATTTTTCTCCTCTCCCGTTACACATGTTATGGCCCCCATTGGTTTCATGTCAAATCCAGGTGGGGTCTCGGAGGCAAAGCCCCCAGAAGCGCCCATATTTTAGGTTTCTTTAAGAACAGTTTTGTGAGTTATTTTAGCTTTATTTTAAAATGTATTAATAGCATTACAAGATTTGTTTATTCATTTTTTAAAGGTAAATTTGGGTCAGAAAAGGGAGGAGGGCCCAGCCCTCCCCTCAAAATCTACTGCTGCAATTCCATTGAACACAGCTGTTTACAATTATTCACGTAATTTCTGTATTTATCCCAGGTTTTTGTTTTAAAATACAGATTACTGATGTGCTATTATCATCTAAAAGATATCAAATGTATACTAGAAATGTATGAAATGGATGAAAAGCTCAGATTAAAGGCAGTTCTAAATCATTTAAATCAACAAAAACTGCATAATAGGGTAAACAGCTCTGCATGGAATAGCTATAAGACTTGTATACTATTACTAATATTGTCAGTCACTGCCCAGAGACATAAATTTATTTCAGTCTTTGGTCTTCTCACAAACATGTAATAACACAGATTTCCAATCAAAGGCATTTCATAATACCAGCCACCTTGATAATTATTCTGAACAAATTTAATCCCTAAAAGCTTTTAAATCAATAAATTCTGTGATACAATTGATTTAAATAATAGGGTTGAAGTAAAGGGTTGTGTTTAAATGTCCAGTATTGAACTGCGCATGGAACATAAATATGATCTTGTTGAAATCAGGTGAGCTATAAATTTTTTGTTTAATGTGTTCATTTATTTAAAACATTATATTTTGTACTATTTCCAGCTGCCCATTAAAATTCTGTACGTTAAGGTATTTTTATATTTTAATTATAAAAAAATACAACTTAAAATTTATGTAATCTTATATTGCATGTTATTAGCATAAAATATTTAAAGTCCATTCAATACAGCTGAGCAAAACATGCAATTACAATTTTGTGCAGTATTATTAAATTCAACAACATTTGGAAGGGGTTCATTACATATTGTCATGAAAAAGAAGCTCTTTAAATTATCTGAATCAGATCATTTATTCAAAAACTGTTATCCAAAAGCAGCAATGGAGTGTGAAATAGGAGGTAACTCTCCATGGGACATATATCATTCAAAAATGTTTCAGAGCTCCCCCCCCCCCCCCCCCCAAAGAGAGAGGAAGCAAATTATATTTATTTTCTCAAGTTACACTTGATTTACAAATTGATAATTTTATTTTGACCTTATTCATATATAGCAGAGGTGGAAAGCAGATCAATACATTTCCTCTGATGGTTACAAAACTGATACAACAGAATGATATGTATACATGTAATTTTTTTAGATATTTTCATATTTCATTGAAATGGTCTATTTTTTTTTTTCAATTCAGTGAAATGGTATGAATATTACTCAATTATGTTAATTCAGTTATCAGGTTATAGGTTGAAAAGACTATATAAAGATATTAAGTGACATGTGCATCTCTATTTTCTGTTTTTCATTTCATTGACTGTATCATGTGTATTAATTATTAAACTTTGTAGGAAAAATCAATATCACATCATTGACTATCCTTCTTTGTTTTTGGCTTGGCAAGAAGACTAATCCTGATTAAAATGCATGTTCAGCGTAGATTGCTGTTTTTTAAATTATTTTTTTTTTTTTTGCTTATGATGTTGCTGATAATGCTTGATTTGAATCGAGAAGAACACCTTTTTAACATGATAGACCAAACTTAACCGACTATTGAACAGGATGTAGATAAATATTTTATAAGTTTATTGATCATCTTGAAGCAATCAATGTTTTTTTCTTTTTGTTTGAAATTTATTTACCAAATGTATAAAGTTATATTTCTGTATTTCCTTGCAGAGTTTCCACATCCTAGGAGATAAAAATGATAAAGACCTCTGAAGGATTTATAAGGATTTAAAAAAAAAAAAACCCAGACAAAGTAAGCATGTTTTTATTTGTTTTCATTATAAGCTAACAAGATTCACATTATTGCAAAGCAAAGATTGTATATAGATCTGTGATATGATGAAGTCTGACTGTTCATATGTTTGCTTCGACACTTTTCATTGAGTTTTTGCTTCTTTGCACAGGTAACAGCAAAGTTATTTAAAAAATAACAGATTCAGATTTAAAATAACAGATTCAGATTTATAAAATGTGTGTAATTCTGTCATTGGAGTTGACCTTGATCTTTGACCCTTACAGTTATAGATCAGAATCATAAATATAAATTTCTTTGTTAAAGATGATCTACATTTATTCTTATCATCAACAGTTTTGCTTATCACACAAACTAGGTATTTTTTAATATTATACTTTCATGTAAATTAGTTGAATCTGATTCGTCGAGAAGCATTCAGTATGATATAATAAATATTGCATGTAGTTGAGTGTAACATTGAAATTTTTCACCCCTCGAAAACCATTGTCAACTTTTGGGTGTACCTCGGTTGACAGTGGTTTTCTTGGGGTGAAAATTTTCAATGTTACACTCAACTATATGCAATATTTATATAATATGATTGACAGAGATAACATTGAACCCTTACCTCTGACCTATAAAAGTGGTAAATGAGTATAAAGAAAATGTAATCATCAATCTTTCAATACCTTTATATGTAAACTAGAATAAGATTTGCTTAATATGCTTTTTAGCTCACCTGAGCTGAAAGCTCAAGTGAGCTTTTCTGATCACATTTTGTCTGTAGTCCGTCTGTCCGTCTGTCTGTAAACTTTTCACATTTTTGACTTCTTCTCCAGAACCACTGGGCCAATTTCAACCAAACTTGCCACAAAGCATCCTTGGGTGAAGGGGATTCAAGTTCGTTCAAATGAAGGGCCACGCCCTCTTTCAAGGGGAGATAATTAAGAATTAGTGAAAAATGAATAGCATCTTTAAAAAATCTTCTTCTCAAGAACCACAGGGCCAGGAAAGATGAAACTCATATGGAAGCATCCTCAGGTAGTGTAGATTCAAGTTTGTTCAAATCATGACCCCGGGGGTAGGGCGGGGCCACAATGGAGGATCAAAGTTTTACATAGAAATATATAGGAAAAATCTTTAAAAATCTTCTTCTCATGAACAGTAAAGCCATGATGAGTCATATTTATATGGAAGCATCCCCAGGTAGTGTAGATTCAAGTTTGTTCAAATCATGACCCCCGGGGGTAGGGCGGGGCCACAATGGAGGATCAAAGTTTTACATAGAAATATATAGGAAAAATTTTTAAAAATCTTCTTCTCATGAACAGTAAAGCCATGAAGAGTCATATTTATATGGAAGCATCCCCAGGTAGTGTAGATTCAATTTTGTTCAAATCATGACCCCCAGGGGTAGAGCGGGGCCACAATGGAGGATCAAAGTTTTACATAGAAATATATAGGAAAAATCTTTAAAAATCTTCTTCTCAAGAACAGTAAAGCCATGAAGAGTCATATTTATTTGGAAGCATCCTCAGGTAGTGTAGATTCAATTTTGTTCAAATCATGGCTCCCGGGGGTAGGGCGGGGCCACAATGGAGGATCAAAGTCTTACATAGAAATATATAGGAAAAATCTTTAAAAATCTTCTTTTCAAGAACAGTAAAGCCATGAAGAGTCATATTTATATGGAAGCATCCTCAGGAAGTGTAGATTCAATTTTGTTCAAATCATGACCCCCGGGGGTAGGGCGGGGAAACAATGGAGGATCAAAGTCTTACATAGAAATATATAGGAAAAATCTTTAAAAATCTTCTTTTCAAGAACAGTAAAGCCATGAAGAGTCATATTTATATGGAAGCATCCTCAGGAAGTGTAGATTCAATTTTGTTCAAATCATGACCCCCGGGGGTAGGGCGGGGCCACAATGGAGGATCAAAATTTTACATAGAAATATATAGGAAAAATCTTTAAAAATCTTCTTCTCAAGAACAGTAAAGCCATGATGAGTCATATTTATATGGAAGCATCCTCAGGTAGTGTAGATTCAATTTTGTTCAAATCATGACCCCCGGGGGTAGGGCGGGGCCACAATGGAGGATCAAAGTTTTACTTAGAAATATATAGGAAAAATCTTTAAAAATCTTCTTTTTAAGAACAGAAAAGCCATGAAGAGTCATATTTATATGGAAGCATCCTCAGGAAGTGTAGATTCAATTTTGTTCAAATCATGGCTCCCGGGGGTAGGGCGGGGCCACAATGGAGGATCAAAGTTTTACATAGAAATATATAGGAAAAATCTTCTTCTCAAGAACAGTAAAGCCATGATGAGTCAAATTTATATGGAAGCATCCTCAGGTAGTGTAGATTCAATTTTGTTCAAATGATGACCCCCGGGGGTAGGGTGGGGCCCAATGGGGGATCGAAAGTTTTACATAAGAACATACAGCAAAAAAAATTTCTTCTCAAGAACAGAAAAGCTATGTTAGTCTTATTGATATGGAAGCATCCTCGGGTAATGTAGATTCAAGTTTGTTCAAATGATGACCCCTGAGATAGGGAGGAGCTACAATGGGGGATCAAATTTTTACAAAGGAATAAATGGGAAAATTCTTTTAAAATCTTCTCAAGTACAACAAATTCATTTGTTATATTGACATGAAAGCATCATCAGGAAGTTTAAAATTCAAGCCCCCCCCCCCCCCCCCCCCCCCCCCCCCCGGTTCATTACTGAACTGATTTGTGCCTTAGTGTAGCCAGTGTGCTCAGGTGAGCGATGTGGCCCATGGGCCTCTTGTTTATCATGACTGCAGCCTCTAGAAGGATATTCAATGTTACTTATACCAATCTAGTAATTAAAATTAGATATTCTGAGAAGCAGTAGCTGATTCGGAACATCTGATTTTATTTAGATTGTACTTTTAAGGCCTCATTTTATTTGATAAACAATGTTAAGATTTCATCAAATTAGGTTATTAACCTGTGGAACATGTCAAACGCTGAATCAAAGTCATTTTGATAATATTTTAGATTGTAGTTTATAAAAAGATTAAACAAAAATATGTATGAACCTCAAAGAAAAATTTGCAAGATGTTATGAATGAACCTTCTTTCAATAAAATGTACATTGTTTTTTTTTTCAGGAATCCTCAGATGAACTTAGAGAGTGTCATTACCAGCAAAGATGGAATAGCATCAACTTCTTTCAGATTTTAAAGCAGATTTTCATAGGATCAACTGCATAGAGTGGAATTAAAAATTGCAGTTCTCAGAAAAAAAGGGAATAATATTAACTTCTTCCTGATTTCAGTGCATATTTTCGTAGGAGTATCATGTCTTTCTGAAAGAAGAAGCTCATCTTGGGAAAATCAGCTGATAGGCAGATATTCATGAATTAGAATGCACTGTTTTAAATCTTTAAGAATTACTTACACATTGAGGAAATGAGCAAAAGGAACAGATGCTGCTGGTCTGTAACTCCAGTATGGAAGAAATGTTGGACGTTTTTCTTACCAGTTTGCGCATTCACCATTATGGCATATTTAGTTGGTTTTAATTATTTTACTTCCAAGAGGATGTATGATTTGAAGGAAAGAATCAGCAATGAAGATGTAAGTGAAAATTATAGATTTGAACTGCCAGATGCTATGAACATTACAACAGAACATACACCCACTCAACGACATCCTTTGTTCATCAGTAATACAGAGAATACCGAGGCCTTCCGAAATTCCCACATAATGATAAGTACTGGTGTAGGGCGTTTAGGAAATCGAATGTTTGAATTCGCATCACTTCTAGGAATTGCCAATCGTCATAATTATAAACCTATGATTTTGCGCAGAAATACGTTACTGCAGGTTTTTGATATTTCACAGGTGACTGATTCTGAACCTTTGAACTTAAAAGGTGTCGGGGAAAAGGGGGCGGGGGTATATGACAAATCACTAGAAAATTTAAGTCATGACAAAAACTATTCGTTAGGTGGATTTTATCAAAGCTGGAAATATTTTGATTTCATTAAAGATGAAGTGAGGAAATCTTTCAAGTTCAAATCTGGATTATTAAGCAAAGTTCGACAACTGCAGACTTCACTGAATATTGGTGACAAAATTACCGTTGGTGTTCATGTACGTCGTGGCGACATGGGAAGCAAACGAGAACTGTCTCGAGGATACAATGTTGCCACAAAGGAATATTTTGACAAAGCATTCCAATATTTTCGGGGGAAATTTAAAAACTTATTATTTCTTGTTGTGAGTGCTGAAATGTCTTGGTGCAAAAGCAATATGAAAGGTGACGACATTAAATTCGTAACAACAGGAAGTGCCGGGGGAGACATGGCACTTCTTGCTCATTGTAATCATAGCATTGTGTCCACGGGTAGTTTTGGATGGTGGGGGGCTTACCTCGCAGGGGGAGAAGTTGTGTATTATCGAAATTTTCCATCCAGTGGCAGTTGGCTGTCAAAACAATATGACAGGACGGAGTATTACCCCTTGCATTGGGTTGGCATGGAGTGATTTCTGCTGATCATTATCACAAGGAGTTTTTATCCTTTATTTATGATTTTGTATGTTTTCGAATGGCTTTTAAGTTTTAATTATGTGGAAAGTATTTATATTTAAGGTATTGCTGTATATTTATTTACTTGTTATTTGTTTAAGAATTTTTTAATATTTTTTATGATACCTATGTATATATATAATAGAGAAAAATCTCATAAGAGCATATAAACTACATACAGTCCCATAAACTTTTTGATGAATACATTCCATATAGACAAGTGTTAATGATTGTATAAATTCACATTTAAAAATGAATATATAAGCATTCACTGTTTATCATGAAGTATCTATAAATTGTTATCCTGTTTTATCCTGTATTGATCTTGGTCATAATATATTATACATGTTATACATGTATCTATGGCTTTAATTGACATTCCACCAAGAATTCTGACATTCTTATCTTTTTTGGTAGATGTTAAATATGTTACATAAAACTTCTTGTCTCATACAAGTCTTTAAGCATTAAACAGTGATATATAATCAAGGTGAACTGGTGATATTGTTTGAAAAATATGGGGATTTATAGAGTTTATGTGATCTAAGGCTGTGTTTCTTTAAAAGGATATTTTCGAAAGAAATGTACTTCATTATGAAAATATCCAGGTTTTTGCCCTGTTAAATATGTGTTACATAAAACTTCTTGTCTCATACAAGTCATTAAGCATTAAACAGTGATGTATAATTAAGGTGAACTGGTGGTATTGTTTGAAAAATAGGGGGATTTATTGAGTTTATGTGATCTAAGGCTGTGTTTCTTTTAAAGGATATTTTCAAAAGAAATGTACTTCATTATGAAAATACCCAGATTTTTGTCCTGCCCTGCTGGGCAAAATCTGACTAAGATTTGGCCTGTTTTCATGACAGTTTTATGATGGAATACATGTTATTGTAATTTATTTGAATAAGAGTAATACTTCTTAAATGTATCAGAGGGTAGAGGAACCCTAAATAAAAAGTTATTTCTTTTTTCACAAATGTCATAACCACCAGAGCTCTCAATTACCTATAATTGGAGTTATTCAAGGGCCCCATTTCCAATTCCAAAAAGGTATTTTTTTTTCCAATTCAGAATTGAATGTGTCAATTTTTCCAATAGTCATTCTCACAAAAAATAAAATACAGTTGGAGATATGTAATAACTTGTTTTTCGTATTCCTCTATATTGCAAAACAGAAATTTAGTTGATAACAAAGATCAGAAACCTAATATGACTTTAAAGTTTAATGGTTATCCCAAAATGCCACTATTTTCTTAATCTTCGTGGCCCTGACCCCTTCCCAAATGTGGTATGAAAGATCTGATCACTTTTTACTACTAAAGATGGAAATGGTTTGTATGAAGTCCATACACTTTCCTTAAATTACAGCCTTTCAGGTACCTGTGTTTTTAACAAGAAATCCAAAATTATTTACTGTCCACTGAGACTTACAATTTATACATTGTGTGGTTTTTTCCAAGATTTTTTATTCTTTTTTATTTATTTATTTCTATTTATTTCTAAAATCTTGTTTGATTGACTTGTTATTTAACTAGTTCCATTTCTTCCACTGATTTCTGCTTTGTATTTTTTTTAAATATAGGCATATGTATTCATTTGTACATTCCTTTTAAAAACATTTCTTAATGCCTTATTATTTTGTCATGAGACTTTATTAAAAGAATGATTTATGAAATTACAGGTGTAATGTCTGTTTATAATGGACTTTCATTGCATGTTTTACATGTACCATATTTACTTTATACATGTTATTATGTACATACATTGTGAAGAGGAATCACATCATTATAGTTTAGGCTGTCAGAGGGAAAACAGGGTGAAACAAACAATTTTGTTCAAATCAAGGTCCCCGGGGGGGGGGGGGGGGGGGGGGGGGGGGTATGGGATCAAATTTGTACATATTGGAATATATAAGAATTTAAAAAAACTTATTCTCAAGACCAGTAGGGACATGATAAGGGATATTGAAATGCAAGCAGTGTCAGGCAGGAGAGATCCTAGGTTGTTCAAACCGCCCCTGCCCCCCCCCCCCC